TGCAGTAAGTTTACATTGTTGTAGTGAATGAATAAGAACTTAAAGGAGAAATCTAAAACATTTCATTGATGTACCTTACCATACTAGCTGGAAGTAATTCTATTTGTACTAGGCTCTTCATTGATTAAATTGTTTATTTGTCCATTTATTCATAAAATACTTATGCCCCTATCTGATGCTGGTATATGTAAAGGGGTGGAAACATTCATTAAGAGTTGATAAACATCTTAAAGAACTTGTAGAGTTTAATGGGGATGAAAAGATTACCAAATATTCTATAACAAGAACTATGGAGGATGAGGAAAGGGAAAGATTTCTTCTAGCTAAAGGGACTAATGGGAACTAGAGAGGGGATCTAGATGTAGGGGAAGGCATTTGACCAGGATCTTTGAAAAGCATATAAATGAGTCAGTTCACATTGTGCTGTCTGTATTGTACAAACTTGACAAGAATATGTCTCTTTCCCTCACCTGGTCTGAAGTTCCTCTGATGGAATGTGGTAGGCCATTGACCTATCTTTTATTTATTGAGGTGAAATTCACATAACATAAAATTAACCATTTTAAAGTAAGTAATTTCATTGTCATTTAGTATATTCACAATGTTGTGTAACCGCTAGCTCTTTCTAGGTCGAAAAGGAAACCCTGTGCTCATTAAGCAATTGTTTTCTATTCTCTCTCCCCATCCCCTGCAACCAGTAATCTGCTTTTTGTCTTCATGGATTTACCTATTATGGATACTTCATATAAGTGGAATCATGTAATGTGTGGTCTTTTTGTCTAGCTTTCTTCACTTAGTGTAATGTCTTCAAGGTTCATCTGTGTTACAGTGTGTATAAGAACTTCATTCCTTTTTGTGGCTGAATAATTTTTCATTGTAGGACTATACCACAATTTGTTTACCCATTCATCCACTGATGGAGACTTGGGTTACTTCTACCTTTTGGCTTTTGTGACTAGTATTGCTACACACATTCATGTACATGTATTTTTTTGAGTCTCTGCTTTTCGTTACTTTGGGTATATACGTAGGAGTGGAATTGCTAAGTCATGTGGTAAATCTATGTGTAAGTTCTTGAAGAGCCCCCAAGCTGTTTTCCACAGTGGCTGTACTTTGACTTTCTTTTAAGGGGATGGTCTCTTTCTCCATTACTGCCTTTCAGATCCCAATATTTCACCTAAAGTGGTCTTTTCCCTTGTGTCCCCCAGAGACATCCCTTGGCTTCCCTGGAGGGTACTGGGGTCCACAGGCTGTTGGTGGTACCTTCTCTGGTCAGTTTTGTTCTCTGAATATTTCTTTCACTAATCAAAATCCATTTATGTTTGATACCTCCCCACGACACTGCCAGATAATTTATTTTTTCATAATTCATACTTTTTTATCATTTCATTTAAAATTTTTTCATTTGCAGGCTTGGTGTAACACACTGCTGAATTTTATTTCACCTATTTTAGAAACACATTTGTCATAGATGTTATGTGAGTGTGAGATGACTAGTAAAAGACATGAGTGCTTTAAAAAATCCTGTTATCTCATTCACTGTGCTAAGCCCTTAGAATTAAGTAGCAAACAAAACAGACATGGTCTTTGCCTTCATGGCACTTATAGTGAAGA